AGTACACGAGGTTCCGTTCGAGTCGCAACGGCGGCCACTCCAGGTTCCGTCCTCGAGAGCGGTCATCCGGAGCACCCCCGGAGTCAGCGGAATGGGGTCATCTTCATGTTCGACGAGGTAGTTGAGGATAAGGCGCTGCACAGCTTCATGGAGATGATCGTCGAACCGGGGTGGCTGGTCCATAGCTGCTTAGGGCGGCAGCACCTGTTGCGAAATGGCCCTAAGGAGCTGCGCGACGTCCTGCATGGCTCCTGAGCCATGTACCGATGGACTGAACACATAACACCTTCGAGGACTTGGAACGCAGACAGAGACGGCGGGACTTGCCTTCGAGCGCATCGTGGATCGCCTTGAGCAGGTCATTGACGCTCTAAGCGTGTGTCAGCTCGACACCCAAGTCTGCGTGAACAATGCGTCGCTTCGTCCTAGACACAGTGCCAATGCCTTCGTTGTCAAACGGATCTCTTCGCCGTCGCTGACGACGTTCTCCGCACTGGTCACGCGAACCAACCCCGGGCAATCACCTTCGGCGTGGGCCTGAAGCAGCAATTCCGCCTCCTCATACTGCCTGTTCTCGTCGACATGTTAATCCTTGATAATCACGAGAGAATGTCCATGGCGCAGGACGAGAAGGACGGTAGTGCTACTGCCCCAGGGATACCCAACGCGGATGATACGGGCGTTCGGATACTGCCGCCCACCAGCGGTGACCGTCCACCTCGGAGCACCGAACAGAGCTTTCTCGTGCCACACCACAGTGCGGTCATGGAGGATAAGCCCACAGGGAGGGTCGTAGAGCGAGTACACGTAGGCGCAGGGTCCGTCGAGGTCGCTCCACGGCGCGGGCTCCGCGGCCTTCACGCCGAGGGAAGATGCGTAGAGAATTTGGAACCCCGTAGCGTGAACACGAAGCCCATAGGTCCCAGGACGGTCGGGACCGGCCTGCTGTAGGCGGTAGAGACAGCTTCCCGCGCATGGTCCCGTCGTGGTGGCAGAGGACCCTTGGGGAATGTCGCGGACACCGACGATAGCGGGTATGTCGGTGCCGTCCGAACAGCCGCGATGGTCGGGGAAGTGGGTTAGGGGGCAGCTGTGGTGGTCGAGGAAGACAAGGGGGTAGTCGCCCAGGTGCAGTCGAGCCTTCTCTTCTGGGTTGAAAGAGTCTATGGAGGCGACAGCCCGTGAGCATCGACTCGGACACATACATGTGCTGCAAGGGAGGACTCACTGGAGACGGGTTGGCTGATGTGGCTCAGCAGTTCTGCGACGGGAGCATACGCTGCGGAATCCGACTTGTCGGACCGGTCAAGTTCATCGACACACCGTTGGACATCTGCAAGCGTGCGAATCCGGTCCACAAGATGCTCAGGACACGAGCTGAGACGGCGTCCGGAGAAGTCCTTCTCAGCGACCCTCCATCACGCCTCGTTCATGATTTCTGCGTGTGCGGCGCGAAGTTGAGTGACTTAAAGGGACACATAAGAAGAGCAACATGTCCCTCACCGGAAATATGACGAGTCGAAGCTGAACTATCGGCGCCTACGGGCGTAGAGCACTGTGATGCAACAGACTGGGTGCGCGTAGGCTCGCTGGACGACATCGTGGAACTGCACTGGCCACAAGTGCTGTGTCTCCTGAGTGGCCCCTACTGCCCACGCTTACTTGTTTGGCTAAGTGCGGGTAGTTCCAGCAACGTTGGTACGGGAGGGAGCGGTCGCGAGGTGGGCACGATGACGGTTGGAACAAAGTCGCGGACCCCGTTGTTCACTTCCGATCTGGCATTGTCTTGCAGCCGCGTCACTTCGATACTGCAGACTCGCCGGCGTCTGTCAAGGTGCATCCGCAGATGCCAGGTCCAGTATGTGGACGCTGGATGTCGTGCCGCCAGGTCCTACAAGTAGATACCGGCGGACACCCTGGCCAGGGGTCGACGCGAGCGTACAATGTCCCAAATCGCCGTGTGACTGGCGCTGTTTCTTGGCGGTCAACGATCAAGCGTCCAAGCCGTTTCCAATACCGAGAAATGGTACTTACTAACGAAAGGTGGATTCCCTCAGGCCTGCGCCAGCTGTGTGCAGGCTACCATCAGTTGTGTTTGCAAAGATGCAGATAAGACGAAGAAGGAGGTACAGAACTCGCAGTGATCGGGCAGTGTTGTCAAGCTGAGCACTGAGCTTTCAGAGTAACCACCCGTAATGTGCGGAATAACCGTGAGACCAGGTTCCCTGCCCTTACGGCCTGAGGTATTAGTCCGAACCTCGACACTGATAAGACAGCGTAAGTACTCCAATAGACCTGCTAGACGATCAACTCGTGGTATGAGCGCGGCGAGACATGAGATAAAAAAAGGTGTCAATGAGCGACGCTCGACTCAACGAAGTCAAGGAAACGGCGCATATGGATGTGGAATAGTCTAACGTGACCGGTATAAAGCGTAATCAATGATATACAGCGTGAAGGTCGCCAGCAATGCTGGCACTAAGCACACAAATGGGTAAGTCATAACGAACTCGGAGCGGGGAGGGACGACGGGTGTGGTAGATACAGCATAGATTATACAACAAGTTACGCATCCGTGCGCGAACGCGAGGCCAGATCGAGCATTGAGCCAGAGGCGGAGTGAGACATACGGTGGAACGCGCGCGTGCGCGGCGCAAGGAGGTCGGGGGACGCGACACGCGTCACGGAGGCGGCAGCGTGGGACTGGGAATGCGAGCGCGAGCGGAGACGGCTGGAGCTGCGCGAGTGGAAGATCGACATGAACCCGAAACGGCGCCGCGATGTCTCGGTGCCATCTGCGCGGTCCCCGGCGGGGCTCGAGGGCGAAGGGGTCCCAACCGGGCTGCGCGCGTTGGGCGAGCTGCGTACAGTCGCTGAGGCAGGAGGGGTGGGCGATATCTGGACTCGAGCGGTCGGGCGGAGGGCCGGCGACGCCGGAGGAGAGCTCGGGGAGGAGGACAAGGGTATGTGGGCGGGCGACACGGGCCTGAGGGGAGGCGAGTTCGGCAGCGGGACGTTGACCGGAGACTGGGAGAACGCGTGAAGATTTGGCGTGCTCATGGCGGCTTCATACGAGGGTGCGGCTTCGGAGTACAAGGCGGTCCAGGGTGGAAGATGGCTCGGAAGGGAGGATGCGATAGACATGTCTGCATCTGCGGGACTGAGCTGGCGGCTGAGCGGTACATTCTCTGCATGCCTTGGAGAGTCTGCCGTCGCGTCTGCGCTTGCCGAAGAGTCCGCGTTGGGTTCGTTCTCGTCCACTGGCGACATAACCGTTATCGGAACGTCGTCGTCATCCTCGAGCTCTGTTGCGCCTCTGGAGAGTGATAAGATCAGCGCATGTTCATCAAGGAGAGAAGATGCCAAGACCAAAAATAAGAACCGCCGTGCGTAAAGGCAGCCTTAAGAGTGTGATGCGCGAATTGTGCTATACAAGGCGTCCCGGGGGTAATAGCCTCCGCGAGGGCGAATGTTGCGAATGCTTATGACGCCAGGGGATTGTTGTCGCACATGAGTTGGGACAGCCAGTGTGATGTCCAAGGCTGGTAAATATCTCACGGCAATTATTATAATCTCGTGCAATGATCCGCCCTCCTGTGGACACGGCCATAATCACGACCGCAGGGGGACAAGGAGAGGAGAGGGCAGCACCGTTCACGCAGTTTAAGGGGGGACACTCACCGATCAACTACGACCTCAGATTCACCCGGCTCCTGGGTGTACATGGGCAGCGTTCGGGTCGATCCCAAACTCATACTGCGCCTTGCTTGTCCAGGGCGAGGAGAGCGACCTTGGGAGCCAGAACCTGGAGTCTCACCACGGCCGCTCCTCTGTCCAGTCGTAGGCGGTCGCGTGCCACGAGAACTGTCTGCGGACGAGCCCCCCGTGCTCTGCCCGGCGCTGGTGTTGATCGTAGTGGGACCATCCAAGTCCGCACCGGGGCGACCCGGCGCGTTCGACTGCTCTGTTCGGCCGCGAGATTCCCCTGCCGTGTTGGGCCTCCGAGAGGACGCACGCGAAGTGCCCGAGGAGAGAAGCTCCTGCGCTGAGAGGACTTGCGCCTGTCCGGACCGTGCCTTCACCGCCTGCAGCGTACGCACAGGAAGACCCGTCCGGAGGACTTCGTCAGCGGTCACACGCACCAGCCGCGGGTTCGGCGCTGATCGTGTGCTTGCAGACGTCCGCGCAGCCGACCTCGACGGGGGGCGCGAGGAGGGCTTGGGTGAGGCCTGGCGTGCGACGGTGAGTCCAGAGCCAAGGAGGTCCTCGATGGTGAGGACCCGCGGCGTGTTCTTGTTCTGTTTGATGTGCGAGCGTGCAGGTGTGAGACTCGTTCCGAGGAGTTGGTCGGCGGTGAGCGTGATAACGCGTGGTCTGCTAGGGCCAGCTGAGTTCATAGATAGATGATTAGAGTTCGCTCTCGAACTTGTAAGGGGTCTGTATGCGCCTGAGTCGGTCGTAAAAAGGAGAGAAGGGGGCTAGATGACGCTGTGGTGGGGGAGTAGTGGTGGGGGTATCGGGAAGGAGTCGGGGAGGAATGCCAAGCATCGGACTTGCGGAAGGCGCTGCTAAGCGCCCGGGACTTAACATTTCGCTGCCTGACAGGCACGCGCCCGATCCCGATCGCATGAACGATCGTCGGGGCCGACGGCTGGCTTTGTGTTCCCTGTACAGCTCAAGTCGAGGGACGTGAAGCCCTCGTTCTCAGACATGAAGCGTTTGAGGATTGTGCCTTGGTGGTATGTGGTTCAGAAAAAGACGTTGCAGCGCAACTCCTGTCACGAGAGAGCGTGACGCCGCACCTCATGACTGTGATTCAACACGATCAAGTGACTCGACCATAGCAGCGCGACAACCCAAAGCAATGTACACTTGTCTTCTCTGATATCTTTCCCGATCAGTGAGTGTAGCAAGTGGTCCTCCGCGAGGTAAGAGAAAAGGAGGTATGCTGTTGATATACTGCTCGGCATCCACCGATTGCCCGGGGCGAACACCAAAAAGGGCCCAACCGGGAATTGAACCCGGGACCTCGCGCACATTGAACAAAGCCCGAAGCGCGAATCATACTACTAGACCATTGGGCCACAAAAGAGTGCTTGATTTGAAATGTAATGGACATGTGCTGCCCTCTACCTGTCTGCACTGCAGTTGCGGGAGTCGTGTCCAGGCATTTCAAGTTTCACGTCCCGACTACCGTACTCCCACCACCACCATCCCTTCCCTTTGCACTGTTTACGCATGGAATGAAACCCCTCTCGACCATCTCTGCTCTGCTGGTTACTGCTGGGGCATGTCTTGCTGAGATTCTCTCCCTTCGGTCGTCCCCTGGGCTGGACCTCTCCACCCATGTCAATCCCGTCCGGGACGGACGTCTCTACGGCGGGAATGATGACCTCGAGTTGTTGGATATAGTTCTCGTTGCCTCGGTCGATGGCAAGCTGCACGCCCTCAACCGGACATCTGGGGCGTCACTATGGTCTATGGCTTCCTCCTCCGACTCTGCCTCCGCCCCAAATGCCTTCGGACCTCTCGTGCGCACCCAACATCCCGAGGTCGACCCCGACACCACAGACGAGGATGACCCAACACAGGAGATCTACGTCGTAGAGCCCCAATCCGGCGACATCTATGTCATGTCTTCTCCAGACAGCCCTTTGCAGCGCCTGCCCTTCTCTATGTCTCAGCTGGTAGAAATGTCTCCGTTCAGCTTCTCTGGCGACGAGGATAGGCGTGTGTTCGTGGGAAAGAAGGAGACTTCCCTTTTACTTATCGAGTTGGAGACGGGCAGGATCAAGGCGACGGTAGACTCGGAGTGCCCTTGGGAGCCCTTTGAGGATCTCGCGCAATCAGCGAAGCTCGACTTGGACGAGCTAGAGAGCTCAGAACTGCCTGGAGATATTGACACCCCTAGCGAGATTTTCATCGGTCGCACAGGTGTGTATTTCTTCCTTTACACCGCCGCGGAGTGCTAAGTATTACAGATTATCATATCTCCATCCATACTCGTCCCGCCAGACCATCGGGAGGGCGGCCTCACGTCCAAAAGTTGACATTCTCCACATATGGGCCCAACAAGCAAGACCACGGTTTGCAAACTATATATCACCGGACTGCCGACAACACATACATCCAGCCACTCCCCACTGGCAAAATCATCTCATTCAAGACCGCGATACCTGAATCCTCGGAGTCTTCCGGCAGTGCGCACCCTCTCTGGTACCAGGTTTTCTCCAACCCTATGTAGGTCGGTGTGGGATCATACAATCTTTCACCCATCTGACATGGTCGCTCCTTCCAGTGTCGCTACTTTCGACGTCCTTCGTTCCCCCACACGCTCGCAGCCATTCGTTTTACTCCAGCCTCAACCCCGTTTACAAGACATCCTTCCCTCTATTGACCTGACAGATACAGCGACACACAAACGACTGCCCAACATTGACGCCGCATACATTGGACTAGTCGAGGAGTCGGGATCTCTATTCGCTATGAGTCCCGACCACTTCCCGCTCGTCGTCTTCGGCGACGCGAACCTAGACTCGCGTCGGCACAGGCCTTTCCTTGATCCGCCACCAGGAACTGGCCATGACCCAACGGAAAGCTCAGACAAGGATTTTCCCATCGAGCTTGATAGCGTACGGCGGCTCGCCAAGGAACGCAAATTCCGCGAGAAATGCAAGAACGGCTCTACTGACATCCGTTGTCTGACGGGTGTGCGAAAGCTAGGGTCAGACAGCCAGTCGAGGATCAGCAGGCTTCTCGATGGCGCGCCGTCTGTAGCTCCGCCTCCCGTGTATAACAACAACGTCCACGAGGTGCCGCCACCACGGGACCCTCTTGTCCCTAACCCCTCTTTTACCGGAGCCACTGGCAACAAGTCGATCAGGCCTCTATTCGGATGGGACGGCGCACGAGACACCCCTCGTCCGGACACCCACTCGCACCCTGGACTACTTGGCATGAGCCCACCCACGCAAGCCTTCTCAGCCTTCGCCCTTTGCGCTACGGCGCTTTTAGTGTGGATGTTCGTGCGCAAATTCTTAGTACCCACCCCTCCTTCCCCCATTCAAGTCATCACTCCGGTTTCTGTTCCCGCTCCTGAGGGTACTGGGAAGGTCGCTCCGGAAGCGCCAGCCCCTGCAATATCGGAACCCCAAGTCACCGCCAATGGTCAAGCCGCGGTACCCGAAGAAGGTCCCACTCCACCCTCCGAGAGTTCCGTTGCGAAGAAAGTCCTCTTTGCCCCCGAGGCGCTCGAACCTGCGCCAGTACAGCTGGACGGTGGGAACGATGTGGCAGACGGCGAAGACTCGGAGAAGGAGGGCGATGCGCTTGACAACCCTGGCAAGAAGAAGGGTATCAGACGCAAGAGGGGCAAGAAGAAGAAGGGCAACGTCACAATCGCCATACCCGCAGACGAGGTTGAGCAGTTGGCGGAGGAGAACCTACCAGCGAATGGGCACCCGAACGGCGGGCAAGAGGCTCAGCAAGAAGTCCCGCCGTCTATCGTATTGGCACCGTCAGCCCCCGCACCAAGTGTTCCCACACTCGTGGTGTCAGACAATGTGCTAGGTAAGTGTCTACTGGTAGTCTGTAGACCGGATACCAACGTCATATTTGCAGGACTCGGATCGCACGGGACAGTGGTCTTCAAGGGATCGTTGCAAGGACGAGCTGTCGCTGTGAAACGAATGCTAGCTGACTTTGTGACGCTTGCCTCACGCGAAGTCAACGTCCTGCAAGAGTCAGACGACCACCCAAACGTGATCCGGTATTACTACCAAGAGGCCCACGCCAACTTCCTATACATCGCGCTCGAGCTCTGCCCGGCCTCGCTCGCGGACGTCATCGAGCACCCGGACCAGTTCCGGGACATCGCCATTGCGTTCGAGCCCAAGCGTGCGCTGCGCCAGATCACGTCCGGCCTGCGGCACCTGCATGCGCTCAAGATCATACACCGCGACATCAAGCCGCAAAACATCCTCATCTCCTACGCGAAGAAGGGCGTCGGTGAGAACGCGGGCCACCGTATGCTCATTTCGGACTTCGGGCTGTGCAGGAAGTTGGAATACGACCAGACGAGCTTCCTCCCGACCGCGCACGGCTCGATGGCAGCCGGCACCGTCGGCTGGCGCGCGCCCGAGATCCTCCGCGGCGAGGTCAAGCTCGACGACGCCGGCACGGACGAGTCGCAGTCGTCGAGAGGCAGCGTCGGCACGCCGACCGCGGGCACGCCCATGGGCAAGCCTGCGCGCCTGACCAAGTCGGTCGACATCTTCGCGCTCGGATGTCTATACTACTACGTGCTCACGAACGGGTCGCACCCGTTCGGGGACCGGTACGAGCGCGAGTTCAACATCTTGAAGAACGCGAAGAGCTTGGAGGGGCTGGAGCGCTTCGGGGAGGAGGGAGCTGAGGGTGTGGACCTTATCACCAGGATGTTGAGCCCAGAAGCGTACGACAGGTGAGTAATCCTCCTCTCAGTTGGTCACATTGTACTCACCTGCATGTCAGGCCGGATACGACGAGCTGTCTTCTACACCCGTACTTCTGGGACCCAGGCAAGCGGCTTACGTTCCTGCAGGACGCGTCGGACCGCTTCGAGATCATGTGCCGCGACCCGAAGGACGCGAACCTGGTGGCGCTCGAGAGGGGCGCGCATGACGTTGTCGGCGCGGACTGGCACTCGCGGCTAGACAAGCTCTTCATCGAGAATCTTGGAAAGTTCAGGAAATATGACGGGAAATCGGTGCAGGATCTGCTCCGTGCGTTGCGGAATAAGGTGAGTTCTTGTGCTGTGGTAGACCGGCGAGCGTGGTTGACCGAGCCTGTGTGTCAGAAACACCACTACCAGGACCTGCCGGACAACGTGAAGCGGATACTGGGGTCGATGCCGGAGGGCTTCCTCGCGTATTTCACTCGTCGCTTCCCTCGCTTGTTCCTCCACGTCCATGGGGTCATCTCCTCCTCGTCCCTCCGGAGCGAGTCCATGTTCCGCACGTACTACGAGCTCGGCGACTGACACCTGACTCTGTACTCTCCCCTCTCCGTTTCTCCCCGCATTAGGATCCAGAATCCCGGACATCATCTCTTTCGTGCATATTTACTCGCTCAGTTGTTTATTCGTCGCATTGTATCTGTACCACCACCACCGCATCGCTGTGCTGCTATGACCGGGGTTCTGGAGGAAGCTGAGGTTACAATACATACTGTACCACTCTTGTCGCTCGTGCCTCCAGCATGATGGAGCTGTAAATTCTTCTTGCAACGTCTACATGCGATCTCTCACTGGAGCGTGTCCCTGGATCTGCGAACTGCACAAAAAGCAGTGCAATGCATGCCTGTGGGCGCCTACGGCCGATCCGAGTGTCACTCTGGCTTCTCCGTCGGGTCTCTCTCAGCCACCAACACCATGCCCGACATCCCGGTCGGTGCGCAAATCTTCGACCTTGCGTTCCATCCCAACCGTCCTGTAGTCTTCACAGGCCTACTCACGGGCCACGTCAAAGCGTTCGGCTACGATGAGCAGGGCAATCACGAAGCGAAGTTTTCCCTGCGGCCGTCCAAAAAGTCGTGTAGGACGCTCGCCGTGAGCGAGGACGGCGCTCAGCTGTGGGCAGCTGGGAAGGCGAAGGCGATCCAGTACGTTGCGAAAAGATGTCTGTGAAAAGGCGCGCTGACAGTGCGTGTGCGGTATAGCACCATCGACGTAAGCACGGGCGAGGTCGTCGAGACGCGCGCAGACGCGCACGAGTGAGTCCGTCCAACCCTGTTTGCGGGGAGGCGCTCCTGACCTGGACAGTGGTTGCAAGTGCTCCGATCAATCGTATGAAACGATTGCTGCCGAACCTGTTGGCGTCCGGGGATGATGATGGGGTTATCAAGGTGCGTTCGCTGTTCCATCCATGAGTGGGGGGGACGTTCCGGAGGACCTCTCGCGACCCCTCTCTCGATTCCTTCAGTTGGCATCATTCAAGTCAGGCGTCCGTATGGCAAGTGAGCAAGATCCCCCGTTACCGCTATGTGTATGGGTTCAGGGGCGCTTATCAATACGGGTTCGCAAATCCCACACCCGGGGGCCGAAACG